TTTTATAACTACAATGGTTTGTCAACAGAAGTAAATTATCGTTTTTTTCCAATTTCATTTAGTTATTTCTTACTTTATTATTTGTAGTAAATATTTTGAAGTATTGTGACCTTATTGCTCATCTTTTTTCTTTATAGCAATGTAAATACTTCTCTCATTACTTATGTTTTAGTTATTCTTTTATTGTAATACGAACTTTGTCCAAATCTAATGTTAATTTGTATGATCAATATTGTTATTCTTAAGGGACTATTCTATATACGGAATTTCATTCAAATAATTTTTATGAGAAGGAGTTAGTCGGGGGTGCGGTCAAATAAATAAAAAAATTAAAATATGTAAATTATTTTAATTTTTGCCGACGTTTCGACCCACTTTGCAGGTCGTCTTCAGGTCGTAGGATGTAGCACTGCGGGAGGCAGTTGAAACACTCAAGTAATTATTTTAATTTTGCCGACGTTTCGACCCACTTTGCAAGTCGTCTTCAGGGCGTAGGATGTAGCACTGCGGGAGGCAGTTGAAACACACTGTTCCTAATGTAATGAGTTCCTAAACTTGATATGATGGAATCGGAATCGATTAATTGATTTATAAATATGTATCTGATATCATCAATCATTAACTAGATAGATCTATAGGAACTATTAAAGTTTAATTTATTAATTCATACACTGCCTTAATTTTTACTATCTGTCGTGGTCAACAGTAAAAATCATATACGTAGTATATAGTATATGTGTATATGTACATTTAATATTATAAATGAATAGTATGGCGTAAATATCTATTGTACATTAAGGATTAAGCGGGTACCCAGTTTTAATGCCATGAACTCGTCTTGCTTACGTCCTCATCAGGACCATTTCCGGAGCTCTGTCGTGAATCTTGTTTATCTTGTTCATCCACGTCTGGGACATCGCTATCCTCCACTTAGACTACCGTCAACTACATCACCATCAACCGCATACATTCCAGATCCTATGGGTATCCAGTTTTAACAAGTGAAATTAAAAATATTACTTTTCCGTAATTTAAACACCTCATATTAAGATTGAACTTTCATCCATGCCTTATTTGATGCCATTATCGCTAAGCGCTATTAGTATTGCGAGCCAGGTCCCAAAAAATCGACCTGATCGCAGGCGAATATTTGATTGTAAATTACGAAATTTTATTTTATTCTAAGTAAAAAGAACCTTGTCTGCCGTTCCAGAGCCGCTGCTTTCAAAAATGGCGGCTGATTTAATGAATATTAGGCCAGTAATCTGAGGATCGAAATGGGAAATCCATTGCGAAAAATTTGATAAAAGAATCTATTTTTTTAACTTGTATATATGGGCTTAGACATGTAAGGAACAAAATTTCTGACGCGGACCACCAAGAGAACATTTTACACCCAAAAAGTCAGATTTTTTCAATATTTTTTTTTATTTTTTCACCTATAACTCGTAAACGATACATCAAGGCGAAAAATCTATTCTTTAATAAATTAAAGAACGTTAAATTTCGCGTCAAATGAGCGCATAAACTTTATAATTTGGTTACGTTGTAAGGTGTAAGACCACGGTCAACCAACGCTGATTTTTTACCAAATTTGTCAAAAATTGAGACAAATTACTATAAATGGTCCCGCAACTTGGAAATGTGTCCCTCAAGAAGAAAAATCCATAGAATCAAAGTTGTAGAGCATCAAATTTGGCGTCCACTGATTCCCAAATAATTTAACGTAGGTCACTTACTCAGAACAAAATCGGTAATCTCTCGATGGTTAGAAATTGGTAATAAAGGTAAACGTGATTTTCAATATTTCAACAGTATCGGTGTCTATTCTACTGGATTATTTTTGTTTACATGCAGTATACGCCTCTTTTCCACCTCTCAACAGCGAAGGATTTTGGTAAACGATCTATCAAAAGATACCGAATTTCGTAAATGAATAACGAATCTCGATTCGAGATTTATAATTGGCCTAAAATAAAAATGTCAGTAGCCAGCGGAGGCAAAATTCGATGCCCTACATCTTGGATTCTTTGGGATTTTTCACTTTGAGAACTCATTTCCATGTTATAGGGTCATTTATAATAAGTTGTCTCAGTTTTTGAAAAAAATGTTAAAAATTAGCGTTATTTGACCATGGTTTTATACCTTACCACGTAACCAAATTATAAAATGTATGCAACGCTTTGCAACAGTTAGTTCTAGTAATGTTTGGTGAAAACACGGTTATTTTTAGCTGAATGGATAAAAATCACATAATTTTCTTACACAACTTGAGGTGAATCTCAAGTCTTTGCCTAATAAACATCAACTTGACTAATATGGATTGAAAGCTTATCAAAAGAGCAAGTGTTTCTAAAAGTGGGGTAACTGTATTATAGTTGATAAAAATTATGATAAAAAAATCGCAAACAATTTATGATTTAAAAAAACAAAACAGAACTCAGTTTAGCCGCTCAGATGTCCTCTTTAAATGGTTCTCATAATGACAAACGCTATTTTCTTATGAAGTAAATTTTGTCTAGTCTACGATGAAACAATTGTTAGTAACTTAAATTAAATATTTCAGTAGTTATCGCTATCTGCTCGACAAAAAACAAATAAAACACACAACACTTGAATTTCCTACTTTTTTTTTGCTGAAAATTGTATTATATGGTATTTTTTGTACTTCTTGAGGTTCGCTATTATTCCTATAAAAATTTCTTCTTACTTACCGAACACCTTGTAATTTGTTTACATTCGTAGATGCTAATTTCCCTAACAGTATTTCAAGGTGTTTTAAGAACATCACTAATTAAATAATAATGTTAAATATAAAATTTCTCGAAATACTAAACCTAATCAATTAATTTATAAAAATAAAATAAAAAATCTGCCAAAAAAAACAACCTATCCATGCTTGCATCAGTTAATTAATTACATAATTAATTTTTAAAAACGCTGCAAATGATTTCACAATGGTTTATTATTTCCTAACAATTATACATCTAAAGTAACATTACCTTCTTAGTTACAAAGAATAATAAATAAAAGGTGATTCCAATTATTGGACTAAACATTTTTTTTAATCATTAGTAATTTGCTAAAATAAATCAGCATTATTTCAGTATCACATTAAAATCAAAAACCAAACAAAGGATATAACCAGTAGAACATTTAAAAACATCTATAGACCATATCTTTGTTTCTGATTGTCCGGTTTTAACGATTTTTAAAAGTACAATATCGAGAAAAAATTGTATACTTTTTGAGTTATTCGGAATCTAATTTTACCACCCCTCGTAACTTTTTTTCCAGCTCCTTTCGTATACTGAAACATAAAACCTCAAAAAGGAAGGAGATGGTCCGCGGTTGCGGTCATAAATAGGCTAAATAGTGGTAAAACTATTTTATTGAAAGCCGACGTTTCGACCCAACTTTGCAGGTCTTCATCAGGGAGGTGTGTTCATCTAGGAGTTTCACTTAGAACTGAAGTGAATGTTGATCTTTCATCATCTTTGAGTTCTAAGTGAAACTCCTAGATGAACACAACTCCCTGATGAAGACCTGCAAAGTCGGGTCGAAACGTCGGCTTTCAATAAAATAGTTGCTACCACTATTTAGCCTATTTATGACAGCAACCCCGGACCATCTCCTTCCTTTATAATGCAACGGTCAACTATTAAATATTCCATAAAACCTCAAATATTGATAGGGGGTTAAATTTTTGATTTTTTGTTCGATGGTTCATTATTGAAAATAATAAACAAAAATATTTAAAAATCTATATATCTTTATTAACGATTTCGATGAAAATTTCTTCATTCTTTAGGAAATTTAAATACCTTTTTTAAATCCAAATTTGAAAAAAATTAGTCCAGAGAAAATGCGCGTACGGCGTATGGCGGACGAACAAAAAAATTTGTATTCGCTTTCGAATTGTACGTATCCTGAAACGTAAAACCTCAAATTTTTAAGAGGAGGTCAAGTTTTCGATATTTTTCTTCGATTACAATGGTCCATTATTGAAAAAAAAAAAAAAAAATCTGACTTACAAAAATTACCCTATCCATCCAGCTCGCATATCTACTTAAAACACTTTGGAATACTGTAAGAGAAATTAACATCTACGAATATACACAATGCAAGGATAGGGTTATTTTGGTGGTCAGATTTTTTATTTTATTTTTTTTTAAATTAATTAATTAAATGATAAATAAATTAATTAATTTTATTCTTCTTATGTTACTTATTTATTTAATTTATCTTTCTCCACATTCCTTTATATCTTTTATTTCATATTATATCATTTTTCCTTTTCTTTCAATCTCTCCAAATTCACATTTGCATATATTATATATTACACCACGACAATTTTTATCTATTTACTTCAGTTTAAGATCTTGTTAATTAGCTTACTCTGTTTATATTTTAATGTACTTACTGTTTATAATTTTAATAAGCTTATTCACATTGTTTATAATATTTTGTAACTTCCACAATTCTCCATCTTTTTGTATCTTGCCCATTTTAGTAATGAAGAAGACCTGCAAAGTCGGGTCGAAACGTTATCTTTTAATAAAATAGTTTTACCACTATTTAGCCTATTTATGACCGCCACCCCGGACCATCTTCCTTAATTATAATGCTACGTTCAACTATTAAATATTCAATATAAATTAATTGATGTAATTAATTAACTGATGTAAGCATGGATAGGTTTATTTTTGTTTTCAGATTTTTTATTTACTTTTATAAATTAATTGAAATTTTTTTTTATTAAATATTTCGATATTTTATATGTAATATTATTATTTTATTAGTGATATAACTTGTTGCTAAGACTGAGCGGTTACCTGCTAGGTACCTATAGGGAGGGCTACCTGTAGGTAACATTTTTTGCCAAAGGGGCCTAACAAAAGAGCAGGTGGTGGCCTATAGAGTGGTGGTGGGGGGGACCTGCGCGGCACTGCCTCTCCATAGCGACCTCAGTCTACAACACAGTCTGGGGCGGTGTGTGTCGTTGTCGCTCTCGTTGTTGTTGTTTAGTGTTGTTTTTGTTGTTGTTGCTCAACATATATTGGATACGTCACAGTACAGAGGTAATACAACCAATATAATAACATTTTCTTAAACTTTATCTGCATAAAACCAACCAAAACACCGTTACTTAGAATATAATCCTTCAAGTTTCGTTACCTAGTGATAAACAAAACAATATTCTCCACAATTCTTTACTATTATATAAACGTAATAAAATAGTTAATTTTTTCTACTTCAATATATGCTAGATAACATATATCTGCGCTTTAAATGCATTGAATGATAATATTAATATATGTATGATACTGGATGAGAAACATGTTTGGGGATTACAGTATATAGAAGTACACAAAATAAATTATATTTATACATTTTTGTATACTTCTAATCACTGCAAATCCCCAAACAATGTTTCTTCTAATAGTCCATTTTCCCATATGAAAAATATATGAATAAATAAGTTCATCTACAAATAAACTATTTCTATTTAATGTTATTAATTGATCTTTCTTAGACCATCATACATGGATAAATTTGTATCTATTTATCCACTTAATACCAAAAACAAGTCCTATCAATTCTTAAATAAAAAATCTTATCTATACCGTCAACTTTACTATAATATTATAGACAATATCTTATCTTATTATTTTAAAATTATATTCACGTATTTATATTTTATATATCAACAAAAAAATGTAATATATATGATGTTGAGTAATGTAAAAAAAGAGAGCTTTCTGTCAGTCACATGAACACCCAGAATTGATTTTCGTCCAAGCCGGCATGTGAAGTTTTAAACGATGTTCACAGCTTACTTCCAACCTCCTGATATATTGAATTTTAATACCAAATAACATTGTTTATTATCATGCAATGTATATTTATAAATGTGTATATGTATTTGGCTACCAATAAATCATTAGTTTTATATTTTTAAAAATAATACTAAATATTTAAGTATAATTTATTTTAAATAACTACTATGCTAAAAGCAAATAATATTAAAAATAATTAAGAATTTTTTTTCCAATTTGCTCATCTCAATATAATGTTTACAAATACGTACGCTTATTTAACGTTAAAGTTATTATTTTCATTTGGTTTCAAATTAATTAAAAATTATATTATTATAAGTTTTAAATCATTCAAGTTTTTTAAATTCTCATTATATTCAAAGTAAAATTAATCAAACCTAATTAATTTTATTTTTAAATTTCTGGCCGATTTTAAATCTGCTTTAATTTTTTAATATTTAGAAATAAAGTTGCCTATAACGTCTACTTATTTTTACAGTAGAAATAATACTCATCCTTTCTTTCTAAATAAATTAAAACATTTATTTTTTAGCATCTATTTCATTGACAGATCATTGAATGATATAATAACAGCTCTAATATTTAAATAAAATATAGTTTAAAATCTCATTAAAGTAAAATAACTTGAATCTAGTAGTAATTTTTTCTAGAATTTAAATTTCCTTTTATTTTTTAAAATTTTATTTCTACTTATACCAGTTTATTTACTTAAAGGAATGACACTTTTATTACGTAACAAATAAAATAAAATTATATTTTTCGGTATCTACTTGGATTACAGACACAATTGAAATATAATTTATTGATTTAAATAAAAAAAAACAACAACGCTAATATCCAAGTAAAATTTAGTTAAGAATTGACGTCTTTAAAGTGAAATAAATTACGGGTAATTGTATTTACAATTTGCTCACCGAATGTTGATGTGCTTTAATTTTATACGTGTTTTTTTTTTTTTTTTTTAAGTGAAAGCTTCTTTAGGCGCGACTTGCTTTTTGTGGACAGTGAATTATATTGAGCCGTCAGATCTCCGATGTGTAACGTTCGGGTAAAGTAGGCTGGTATCAACTAATTGAAGTATTTTTGTTCATGGATTAAAATATTTCAAGAATTAAAAATCGGACCTGCTAATTGTAACATCTTTGTAATGAGTTATTATTCAAAATTACATCTTTTTAAATTATTATTTCTTAATGATATTTACAACTATATTAAAGAAATACATTTAGTAAGTTTGAACATATGGATATAATGACGTGAAAACACTTGTTGAGAAACTATGGTAGCACTCTAATAATATGTCTACATTAGGAGATCACAGGGCCATCTTCTTTTCAGACGCCTCGGAGGGTTATCAGGAATTGAAGAGGAAGCAAGGTTAGAAACGAGAGGATTGGGATGATTCTGTAGTTTTTTATGGAAAGATAGGTATCTGGATTGGGCCATATCTGAAACATAAGTCATTATGTTAACATTAAAGTCATTATGGATGGTTTTATTTGTAAAAAAGCAGGAACCATTGAGTATTTTATGAAGGATTTTGGATTGTAAGGACTGGATACGACAGGATTTCGATGGCTTATTGGCCCCGAATTAATTAATAAATATAAATATATATATAATAATAATAAATAAATATTGGTTACACCAATTCTTTACACATAGTAATTAAAATTGTCAAGTATTAGTAACTAATTTGCCTAAATTTTTATTTAAAAAATTGATTTTTTTTACCAGTCTTGGTCTTGGTCTTGCAACAGATAAGCGGTGCTAGTTTTGTTCTTGCAAAGTGCTAGACCAAGACCGATTTTGAGTACCACTACTAATGATAAAGTTAAAGATCCTATTATATCTACAGCAAAATAAACTAAACCTTATGAAAACTAAAATTTATATGTATTGGGTTTGTGCAATTTACGTTATCTGGTAAAAAAATCGATTTTTTAAAATAAAAAATTGACGTATATATATATATATATATATATATATATATATATATATATATATATACACATATATATATGAACGTATTCATTAACATAAAGAAGATACAAAATATAGCATACATATTATTTCTCAAATATATGTATCCCTTTTCCGGCTCTCAGGAGCGATGGAATTTGACGAATGAGGTATCAATAAAAGAAAGTGAATATCACGTAGAGTGCGCGAATCGTAATTTTGATTCCTTATTATATACCTGGACTTAAATAAAAAGTGAATGTAAAAGTGGAAGATTTCAAACCATATGATGTTGCCGTCTTAACGAATCGAGACGTTGCGAATGAATTCATAATTTGCAATAACTTAAAAAGTATGACTCAATTTTGGGCTATTATATGAGTATTTGAAAACTTACTAAATTCTCTACAAAATGTAAAAAAAAAAAATATGGAAATCAGAAATATTTGGTTCAGAATTATAGCGTTCTGACCAATTTAGTATTTGTTGTACTGTTTATATATTTGCATTCGGGAATTTGTCCTTTTTTACTGCATCAATTATTAATTATTCTTTTATTTATTATTAATTAATTATTAGAATTTGAAAAACATTCATTCCTTTCTAATTATTCAATTATTAATCTTATTTTTATTTATATAAATTTGTTTCCTTAAAATACTTCTTGGAATGTTTGTCAGTCAATGTGCTTCAATTACTTTAGTTTTTTCTTTTATGTCGTTATTATTGAAGTCTATCATTTTAATAATACACAAATATATATATATTTAAGAAGGTTGTTGAATATATACCTTCTAATTAACCAAGTGTACTAGACGTAGAAATACCATAACATATAATATAACAGTGAATAAATAATCACTCATTATCTAGGAAAACATTTAATAATTGATTCACCTTTCGAGAAATCGATCCATCTGTAGATCCATCAATGAAATTAATAAATTATCTTGCCTATGTCGAAGATAATAGATATTAAATAGTTAGATAATCGATTTGTTACAACTTCTCTCACAATAAAAAATAAAACAATTATCTCTGGATAAGATCCTGCAAATACTCGTATTATTTTAGTTCTTTAGTAATTAAATCAAAAACAATTTTTTTCAAAGCTCAAGAGCTACAAAAATTCCATATATGCAATGGTCCAATTTTCTGCAGACAAGTAAGTGACGTTTAAAATAAAAATAAAAAACTTGCTAAAAAAAAATCGATCAGCTCCTATGACAGAGATCTGGAATAAAAACACAGTTGTATTAACACTCGGCTTACGATTCTATTGACCGCCAGAAACTGTATAATATTCTAATCGAGCAGGGAATTCCTAAAAAAAATAGTAAATCTAGTCAGGATGTGCTTGACGGAGACACTCAATAAAGTTAGAATCAGTAATAATCTGTCCGAAAAATTTGAGGTTCGTTCGGGCTTAAAACAGGGGGATTCCCTTTCGCCTGTCCTGTTCAATTTGGCATTAGAACATGCCATTAGGGAGGTAATGCGTACCGAGAAAGGGTTGGATCTGGGTGGGACAACATCCGTGCTGGGCTATGCGGATGATCTGGTACTGTTAAGCGAAGACCTTGAAACTATAAAACTAAATACGACAACGTTAATGAAAGCCGGTAAAGAACTAGGACTCGAAATAAACGTGGATAAAACAAAATATATGGTTAGCTGCAAAAATGGCAATACTACTGGTGATATCGATATAGATGGTAATATGTTTGAACAGGTAGATAAATTTAGGTATCTAGGTTCTACGATAACTAGAAAAAACGAAATTCAAGAAGAGATTAAGGTTAGACTGAAGGCGGGAAATGCTTGCTATTTTTCTGTGACAAAACTACTTAGTTCGCGCCTCTTGTCCCGAAACTTAAAAATTAGAATTTATAAAACAATTATCTTGCCTACAGTTCTTAATGGGTGGGAAACTTGGCCGCTTACATTAAGGGATGAGCAGCGTCTTAAGGTGTTTGAAAATAAGGTATTGCGTAGAATATTCGGACCGAAGAAGGATGAGTTAACCGGAGAGTTCAGACGGTTACACAACGCCAAATTGCGTGAACTGTATCCGAGTAATATAATTGAGGTAATTTCATCGCGGCGAATCAAATGAGCTTGTAAAGTTGTTGGGCTTAGTAACGAGAGAATTCCTAAAAGGTTAATATTTGCTGTGCCGAATGGTAAGCGTCCGATGGGTAGACCGAAGCGAAGGTGGGAAGATTGCATTAAAGCCGATCTGAAGGGACTGGGTTTGGACGGCGAACGATGGAGGGAGG